ATTATGAGAGGTTGATTAACCATTTTTATTGTGGAGAATGTTAATCATGGATATTATCATCTTTATTATTTTAATTTTAGAGAAATACATGAAACGGTTTCACTAAAATTTCATTAAATATTATATGAAACAAATTCATCAAAAAAAAGTATTATATAAAACAATTTCACAAGTTTAAACAATTTCATGAAAAAATTTCATAAGATTAAACAATGAAATCGACATATGAGAGTGGTTTGTACAGTTTTTACAAATGAGGGTGGTTTTCATTTGATCGCTCCTCTCTCTATATATATATCTATATATATCTATATATATATATATATATCTATATATATCTATATATATATATATATATATCACTGGGAGATGCAAATGTAGAGATCACATATATTAGAATGAGCCAAACATAAATAATACAATATAAAATATCTCTCATGTGCACACTCATAAAGAAAGTATAACAAATGGTCTTTCAACTTCAAAATTGATATAGACCTATGTAATTTTGTATATAAATTTGTATATGCAGTGCTACAAACTAATAAAAGAATCTTAAAAGAGATTTTATAGAAACATATTAATTTCAAATTTGAGAAGTACCAAGCTTGACATCCAAAAATACAAAGTGAATTAGGGTAGCATGGATCGGAGAAGCCAAACAGATTGTACCTTTAACCACAATTCCAAGCTATGAGGATCTGGCACCCTTGACAAGGATAGCTGCAAAAGATTTATTTGTGTTCATCAACTAACTTGACATGACAAAATCTTAATCAAAGAAAATTTGAGCTACGAAAAAGATGATATCCCATGAAATTATTACTTTCCAACCAAAGGGCCTTTGGCCTAGCGGTATTGTAGCCCTTGGCCTTCTAGAAGGTCAGGGGTTCAAACCTCACCACAGGTGAGGAGGATGTGTGAGTTTATTTGATGTATTTGCCGTATATAAATATTATATACTTCAAAAAAAATTATTACTTTCCAGGATTCCAGTAATATTCTTTCATTCCATGAACTGTTAGTGAGATTTTTCATTCATTTTGGTTGACGCATATGCATAGTTCTTCCCTAAATTGGTACTAGACTAGAAACTTGATCAACACAAATTACCAGAAAAGATTGTAGTTTCTAATTCTTACGATGGAGCTGATTGGTGTGAAAGTATCCTGTCCTTTAGCAACAGTCCACGGAAGACCTGCAGACTGGCATGTAAATACACCAAAGAGAAGGTTAGGTACCAATACCAGAATTTTCATAAACAAGGATATTTTATAACATGAACAATGTCATTGCCAACTAAAGGCCTAGAATGAGTGAAAATGAAGTTTTCATTTGAATATAAATCATGTTGAACTTCACATAATCTGAGACTCGAATGAAACTTGCAACTACAGATAGTCATATAATGAATAGCTGGATCTAGTTATTTAGTGATAACTCACCCTATTTAGTGAGAGTTTTTAAATCTTTGCCTTTAAACTGAATGCTGATAAATTTCTACCAATCAAATGGAAATATTCTTTCACCCTTCATGATATACTTTCTCGTTCATTTTAAATAGCTTCCAATGATTTTTCACATGCTCGTCATATCATTCCAACAAAGAAGTGGTATTACATAAGAATCCAGATATCGATAAGCTCCAAAAAATTGAATACCTTCGCAGACGCCTGGATTTCCCTTGCAGTCATATCCAGTGCAAGTGCATAGCCTGAAAGGAAATAAGATTCACTTTGAGAGCATGACTATGTTCTGTAAAGCATCATCTTTTTGTTTTGTTTCTTTGTGACGATCATTTTTGGGGATTGATTCAAGATGAGATATATGTACTTTGGTTGCTGATACTTTAAAAGTTTCAGCGAATGGGCCCCAAAACAATCAATGTCAAGAATTTATGAGGGATGCAGACATGAAGTGTAGAAACAAGCATCAACATCCACTCACTCCCTTTCTCTAGAATGGAACAACCAGCTTAGACCCCCTGATAAATCACCTCATTGTGCCAGGCCTACCTGATTCTTCCTTGATCTTATGAGAAGGTTTTAATGGAGGCGTTTTAGTGCGCTGTGTCCAGTTTCTTTGACCAGTTGTTGTACATTGTAACAGGGAAATACCCTCAATGTCATCTATACGACCATACGGTCCATACCTATTCTTTTGTGAAATATACTGAACTTGTTTAGAACACTAATGTCTACCCGCACCAGCAACCTTATAATAGAATGTGGCTGTAATCTTAATGTGTAGATGCAAAAGATGTTTTTTCATCATCAAATAAAAATAACTACGACTAACAGAAGTCCACATTTTCTTTTGTGAATCAAAGAATACTTTCCAGCTCGAATTCAATATGGACCTTTAACCTAATTTTGAAAGCCAAAGTGTTTCTTTATGCTGTACTTTTCATACTCCTGGTTTTCAATTCATTCAAAAGTGAGATGTGAGTTTGTTGAAACAATAACATGCGCTGATTAAGTCTTTAACGTTATATACTGAATACAAGGAGCTGCAAGTCCGCAAACTGGAAAATGAGAGCCAAATATATATGAAGAAGGTGAACATTACGCAAATGAACAATCGTAGACCTAAAATCAAAGTATCAAATTCTAGAAAATCGAGGAACAAAATTGTTGCAGGTGGTGAGATCAGATTAAGAGAGAACTACCTCCCACGTAATCCATGGCAGTGCCTTCAGGAACATCGCGAGCCTTTTTGCTAATAACAACCGCCAGCTCCACCTCGTGATCGAGCGATTCTAACGGATTCGGAACTTCGATCGTTCCCCCATTTGCCAAGTAGGAGGTTGTCGGTTTCATAAACAAAACCGGCTCCTAAATAAATAATCACACACAAAGTCACTCACAGAACGATCAAATTGTATATGACCTCTGACAAGCAGATGCAGAATCGGATCATAACGAACCTTAGGGACGGCGTTGCCGAGTTCTTTAGCATGAGCGGCGTAATTACGGCCAACGGCGACAATCTTAGTCCCGACGCTTAGCAACTTGTCCATAGTTGTCAACACTTACCGACGACGGGGATGCCGATGTACATACACGGCATCTTCTTCAACGGTCAGTAGCAAGTAGCAACTAGCAACTAGCAAGTGGTCAAAGTTTGCTTGCAGTTTGGGTCAGCCCATGTTTAGTAAGTAAAGCCCATTTTGAAACTCTAGAAGCCCAAGTTGAAAATATAAAAAATCATACTTTATTTAAAACATCTCTAACAAATTCTTTAAATAAAAAATCAAAATTCAAAATCTTTAAATAAAATTTATATTCTTCGATAATTTTTTTATTTTAAAGATTATAATATAAATTATATTTTTTAAAATACTCAATATCTTTCATAAAATATTATTTTTCATTAATATATTTAATTTCAAATATTCTAATTAGTAAGAAGAATACAAATAATTTTTTTTTAGATGAGTGCTCCAAATTAAGGTGTCGTTTACCAAGTCAATTTACTTTACCGGATGAATATGACAAAGACTAATAATTTTACCTGGTAAGAGCGAAAGCAAAATCGAGAGTCTTACCCGGTAAGTGAGGACAATGACTCTTACCATGGTTAGCGCTTATCGGGATAAATTATTGCATTCAATACATTTTAGTGAATAAAATCTTACCCGGTAAGTAAGCGATAGTGTTGAATTTTACCGGTAAATGCTTACCGGGTAAGTGTTTAGATAAACGGCCGAAAACTTCACACTCTCTCTCTTCTATTAGGTTTTAGAGAATCTGTTAAAAAAAATAAACCCTGAAATCTTCATTTTAAAAAATATGAAATTTCCTCCTATTCCAATTCTATATACAGATTCCTTTTCATTTAAAAATATTTTAACAACCAATCTTGGAGTTAAAAACATTTGAATTTGTTACCACTTTTTTTTAAAGGAATTTATGTATAAATTGCAGACCATATCAATAAAAAAAATATTGTTCATGGCTCAATCATCAAGAATTACATACCGTTTACATTTAAAACGTTAACGACACTAAGGGGTTGTTTGTTTTCTTCTTAATAGTTCCATTAAAGAGGCAACATCTGAATCGTTAAGAGGTGAATTTTGTTTGACAAAAAAAGTATGTCTTTTTAACCATTAAGAACCCTAATTTCATTTTTATAATTACCAAACAATTATATTTCATCTAGTATCATCATGTAGTCAATATATGTCTCAGATCTTTTCCGTAGTGACATCATCGAATCTTGACGGAAGCGCCTAATGTTGCACAAGTTTATAATTTTCTCGAGCTGTGTAAACACATGCCCTTAGAAACAAAACGATATGTAGAAAAAAAGGGTGAGACCAAACGAAGTATAATCGCTCTTTTTTGTCATTAAAATTACTTCTTTAAAACAACGTTTATTAACAAAACAAACTTTTTGATTCAACAACTTGTCGGGTTTTGGGAGCTACTTTCTATTTTTGAAGTAAGATAGATTCATGTTGAACAGCGTTTTAACTAAAATCCATCAAAGTCAACCTAGGAAAGAACATGTGTTCCATTTCCATAGCCTGCATCTCATCAATTTGGCTAGAAACTCGTCACACGCATGATCCGCAACAACTTGTAAGAAACACCACGGCAAATTCCAAGCATGTAGGAAACGAGAACGACTAATGAAGATGACAGCTAAATGACAGATTATCTCATATGCAGCAACAGCAACTCCGGTTTTTCAAGGAACAGCTTCCATTCTTTGCAGAATAGCGCAACATTTGCTCCATCAAGAATTCTGTGGTCTGCTGCTACGTCCACCTGAATCAAGTTAATTGAACCAGAACAAGTTAGTTTATACTGATTGGTTGTCTAAGGAAGGAATACCAACTATTAGAGTTCCTGTCGGGGATGTTTGGTTGGTTTTCCATCAAGTCCTGTATGTATAAAGGATTAATCTGTCTATATAGATTGGGAAGGGTTTTGTTTGGGAGAGTTTTCACATAGATGAAGGAACGTGTTTTTAAATTGGGAGGGGCAGGTTAGGAAAAAACTTGGCTTTCTGCATGAAGCCCCTAAAAGCTTACTGAATAAGCCGTTTTCTATATCATTAAGCCACTACGAAACAGTCAGGTATAGCTGACGAATAAGCTATGATTCTCATTAAGCTGCTAACAAACAGACCCTTAATTTTTAGGTGAAACTTACGTGTGCACGTAAAGTTTAGATGACTAGTTCAAAAGACTTTATTTAATTTGCCGTATATGATGAGAAAAAAAATGCATCTTAACAAGACTTACCGTCATAAGAGAGACAGGGTAAACGGTTCCGTCATCCCTGAAATGAGCAACTTTCTGAACTCGACCAAGGGCTATGATGGCAACTTCAGGAACATTAATGAGGGGTGAACCAAACTTCCCACCAATCGAGCCAATATTGCTCAAAGTTATGGTTCCACCAGATATATCTGAAGGTGGAAGCTTGTTTGCCATCGCCAACTTTTGTAGCCGTGATAGTTCCTTAGTTATCTACATAAATCATTTGCATATATCATATTAAACATCTGCAGGCAATATATGCAAACAAGTAGAGAACAAGAAGTTCAAATAGACTATACATGTGAAGAAAAATACAACTCCATAGTCACAAACCGCAAAAGTTAAAGCTCAGGTAGCACTTATAAAGAGCTGCCATATTTGTACATATATACACCCAGGTACATATACATCAACACATATAACCTATATATGTGCTATATACACATAACCTATATAAAATACACTTTTTCAAGCCGGGTTTCTTCCGGGAAACAACCGCTCTACAAAGAGCAGATATCAGGTCTGCATACATCTCACCCTCTCCATACCCCACCTCCATGTGGAATATACTTTCGTTTGGTTTAGATTTTCTGTATCCCCAACTTTTAAGATCCCTGAATCCCAGTATCCACATATCACACACCCATATCCCCATTCACATGTCTTTACAACACATCCTAGGATCACATATGTTTTTTAAGTATATAAATATTTATATCCAGCAAATACAGGGGCACATTCCTCACCTATGGTGAGGTTTGAACCCTTGACCTCCTGGGAGGCTGGGCTCTACTGTTAACCTAGGTACCACTGGTGCCAATGACCCTGTGGTAGGATCACATATGTTGGCGAGTTGATATTGATTTGCTTGACGTGTACTACATTTCTGTTAATGCATTCCTTTGAACACAATTGTTAATATATATTAGTTGGGTGCAACTTAATGTACATGTTCTCTTACTTTAGTGATCGGAAAAATAATGAAAGATAAGCTACTAACCTCCAATATGGAAAGAGATTGAACATTCTTGATGTTCGGTACTACTAGTCCAGCTGGTGTAGCCATGGCAATTCCAATGTTGTGAGAGCCTAAAAGAATTAGCAAATACAATGAGATTGCAGAGTGGTAAAGGAAAATCTACCACAAATATAGGTAATAAAATAAAGGAAAACCATAGAAGGGATTCAATGACAGATTGATCAATAGAACAGTTTGTAAATGAACAAATACAGAAAATATGTGCGAAATAAATATTAAAGAGAAAAGATAGATAGCAAGCGAGAGAGAGAGAGAGAGAGAGATCATTAATTAGCCCAAGTACTTAAAGAACATGTGATAATTGCTAAACCCCCTACCAGTCGAAGATAACAAACCGTCTGCATGAGTAAAACTCTCTAGTCATGGAGAAAATTGCTAAAACAAATATAGGAAATCGAACATATACAGACCTTTTAGAGTGACTTCATACTTTTCCAAATTGAAGGTACTATTGACTATGGGATGTGTAGTCAAAGCCATGGAAAGCGATTTTATCATCACGGGTAGGAACGTGAATTTGACATCTGGATCAGAATTCTCTTTTTGGAAAGCTGCTTTAAGCTCTACAAGCCCATCAAAGTTTATTTCTTCCACATAATGAAAATGAGGAATACTAGCAGCTGCAGTCATCGACTTAACCATTGCACGCTGATAACCCCTGCCAGGACAGAAATTATATCCAACTTTTAGATACTATAAATGTAATCAGTTTTACTTTTGCAAACAATTTTCCGGCATATAAATTTAAAAAGTTCCTACACAAGATGCTGGTTGAACATATCAGTTGAAGTTTTTTCTAAAAACAATTGATTGGCCATCTGAGATTCACAGACAATGGTGTGTATCTTTAACACATACCCATTACCCAAGTTTCACAACAAGCAGCTAGCAAAATATAATAAAGCACATCTAAATATTTCTGAAGAAAATTTAAAAAGCCAAGTATAACTAGTGTGGAAGGTTCTTAAAAGTTTAAAGGTGTATGTATTACCAATTCCATTATAAACCACAAGTCTAGGACTAGAGTTCCATCTCTTAAAACTTCCAAACAGGAAGGAAAGCTAAGAATGAGAATCGTATTGTAGAAGATAATCATAACCACTGAAAACGTAATTTTTAAGGTTATATAATTTAGGATGACTTCTAAATGAAATCTTAAATTCCTAGTGATTATTGTTACACCTTCTCCTATTTTAACATGTTTACTTCAATCAAATTCATGAAAATTCTCAAGATATACCTCAGAGATAATATCTTATCCTGATAAAGTGACTCGGCTATCTCATGGAGTTTTTCTTCTGGTCCCGACATGGGTTCGATAGAACTAGGATTAAACACAGGTTTGTCGGTAATAATTCCTTTTTCCACAGAATATTTGAGGATGTCTTCTTTTAATACTCTTCCATCTTTACCAGTTCCAAGGACATCATCAATATCAATACCATGCTGCTTTGCAAGGACCCGAACAGCAGGGGTGGATAAAGCTCCACCCTGTTGAGTTTTTCTGAGCTCTGGCTTGAGGTCATCAGAATTAGATGTATCAGAATTAGATGTATCAGAACTTAGTAATGTCTCAGAAACAGCAAATGCAACTGGAGAATCATCGACCGTTAATTTTAATAGAGTTTCTCCAACCTGCAATAAAGGTGGTTGTGAAAGCATCAACACAAAGCTACAATAGGCATGGGAAATTGTATCTTATTTATGGCCGTAACTCCCTCTATTCCAAAAAAGAGGACAGGCTGACAGTTTGACATTTCAAGTCAAATAATTTTAAACTTCAAATTCGATAAGAATTGTTAGAATTTGCAAAAAGATTGGTACCTACAATAAGTTTGTAATTGATGCTATAAATAGAAAAATGCAGTGTTAAATTGTAACAGACGATACCAAATTGAAAGTTGGGAGATAAGTCTGTTTGATCACCAAAGTCAAGCCATAAATCCTTGTTTAGAATGGGAGAGTTAAATGTGACAATATTGGTGATGATATGCATCGTTAGCAAATGACAAACACATCATGCAAAATAGAAGGGAATTGTATATGATTAATTTGCTAAATTTAAACACCATTCATATAATCATTCATCTGGGTTCATCATCATGTTTTATAGACATGAATCCTCCAAGTTTACCTTATGGCAAATCATATATGTAAATCAGCAAAAGGAATCGACAGGTTTGATCACATGTAAATCACGAAGACATAAAAAATACAATCCTCTCCATGTGTAAATTACAAGGCTCCAGAAGGAGAAACCAGAAAATTTGTAAGAAAAGATAGAAAATAAACTAATAACAAAGAAATATGTACCTTCACAATGTCACCAGGAATATGCAGAACCTTAAAAACTCTCCCCTTATAGCGACTTGTTATCTCTATAGTTGCTTTATCACTTTGAACTTCACAAAGAGGTTGATATTCTTCAACTTGGTCTCCCTGTCAATACAAGTTTATCTGGAATGAAACTCACTAAAGCAATTAAAATATGATGTATGATTTCCATGCCATGCCCATGGTTTGAGACTGATGAGAGTCCAGAACCTAAATAATTAAGCGTGTAGTGTGATCACTGTTTCACCAACTTTGCTAAGCATATCATGATATCACCAAACTGATGGGTAGATCAGATAAATGTCTTGCATGAAACATGATTCACATCATAATGGCTGGGTGACTGGGTGTTTGTCATATACAATGCTTGGTGTGGGTAAGTATAGCCTTCAAACATCCCTAGCAGGAAGCTACCCAGTCTTTACATGCCCGGGATCCCAACAGAAGGCCAGTTACTTCTAATTAAGCACTTCCTGCAGCAGGATGCTCTTTTGCTGATAATTTTGTCTCTAATGTAAAATACTTGTCTATCCCAAAAAGAGAGTCCACTTTAAATTTAGAACAAATGTGAAAGACGATATTTGGGGAAAATGATGCTTGAATAATTAAAAATTAAGTAAATAATTCTTTGTTCAATATTAAGGAAAAAGGTCATGAAAATTTGGAACAAATGTGAAAGACAATTTTTGGGGCAAATTTGAAGCTTGAGTAATTACAAACAAATGAAAGAAATCATTATTTCTCCAATCTAAAGAAAAAGGATCATTTAGAAACATCAAATCTATCATAATGTTAGAAATTGAAAAGAAAAAAAAAACTCTTTTTTGGAACAAAGAGAAAATGATAAGAAGGAAAGATGGTAAAAGTGAACTTTTTTTTTTGAGACATATGAGGCAGCTTCATTTACAGTTATTAAAGGTAGATGAAGATATGTATGCGGATTTGGCTCACACAAGGTTTTTCATCAGTTAAGGAAATTGCGTGTTTCGCCTACATATGGATCCACAATATTTAACAGGCTGATCAAGTTTTTGACGGTTCAAGACATACCGGATGTCTAATAGAAAACATAGTCTTTTGGAGTCCCACACAAGCAGTAGTGCTCCTGGAAGCTTTGCCCACACACAAGTGTATGAGAGGACTCTTTCACAAGCACTATAGCATGCATGTAGCAATAAATTCTACATATACAGGGAAAAGAGAATTCGAGATATTAAACATAATGAATAGAACTCTCAGAACACGTCTTCCCCCAAACAAACCCCCTGTAGGTCCGTTAAGTGGGCCCTAGGTGTTACGTGAGGATGCATGTTCTTTAAGCACTATTTCATCATATTGAGGACCTCAAATTCAGCCATCTCACGTGTGTGTGTGTGTGTGTGTGTGTCTTAAAACCTTAACACTTGGAGAATATGAATACCGGCAAAATTAGCAATTACATCAAGATGTATTTATTGTAATATTTGACTCACCTCGTGTACAAACCACTTGAGGAGTTCACATTCTGCAATACCCTCACCAGTTTGTGCTAAAGGTACATCAACAACACCATCAACTGCTTGACTATCCAGTGCATTAGTTGAAAAGTAGTGCCCCATGACATTGTAACAATTGTTCAACTACATAGTAAGGAAACAAAACCACATTGTTACCTTTTATCCAAATTGTATGAAGAGTTATCAAGATTCAGGCCATAAGTAGCACTCATTAGATAGAATACGGCTCTTATTCACATAGAAACATATAAAATGACTTCCAAATTTTAGCACTTGTCCAATGGACTGCTGTCTTTGTTTCTGACTTGTAGTCTTTTTAATTTAAAAATCAAATATAGCCAATTTTAATCCGAATTTGATAATTTTGATGTTAAAAATAATCTACCCAAACTTTAGATTAACATATTACAACAAGCTTCTTTAAATGTAATTATATCTTATACTTCAGATACTAAAAGTGACCCTTTTGACCAGAGAAATCAAAAAATCAATGGATATACCTAATTAGAATGAGAAGTGGTGAATCTTGTAACAAGTATCAAACATCAGAAAGTCAACACTTTTGAAAACGATTCATATGTGAATATCTTTTATCAAATTAGACAATACTTTACAAAGTCAAAACCTAATTGTTTCCTTTAAATGTAGATAGTATTTTGAAAGAAGCATGCTCTTCTACTTAATTTGCATGAATGTAGCTTCTGTTTTGACATTCATATCTTCAAGTTACAAGTTTGGGGAAATTGACTGAAACAGTCAATCTATCAACCAAATTCACTTTTCAGTCACTTTTCAGAAACTCCTCCCCGAACTGATTTCTGGAAGGAAAATAAATCAGGATTCTTTATACAAAATTTTGAATCCTTAATCTTTACGCAAGAGATTCTTGCGAAACTCTGGCTAAAAAAGGGATTCTATTTGGCTAAAAAGTGAAGTTGGTCGGGAGATCGGCTATTTCGAAAAATTTGGGAGTCAAAAGAAGCCGATGCATGCACAGAACTTAGATATAAACACCCACCCAAACATAGAATTAGCAATGCCTGATGCAATTAAAAAATAACCTGTTAAATCATGAGAAATTGATATGAGAATTCCAAAGTACAAACCTTGTAAGAGCAGTCAAACTTTGCCTTCGAAAAAGGTAGAGCTGCGCTTGAGAATTGGGCAATGGTAGGTGGTTTTACCACCGTCGTTGGAGGTATCGAAGTGAGGTAACACAAGCATCTCCTACCGGAGTTCCAAGACCTTCCACTTAGAATCCGGCGAGACAACAACATCTTGAGGAGATCCGACCCGATTGACACACAGAAATCGCCAAATAGATTAGGAATACAAATCAATGAGCAGGTAATCCGTAAACCGAAGCGATATAACCAAAAAATATGTGTAGTTTGATGGATAGAAATTGCTTCTTATGAAGAAATAAAAGGATGAATCGGAGTGTGACAGTTTGATAACCTTAATAACTCTTGTAGGGTCAAGCAGTTCATGCTACCAAACTCTCTCTCTTGTTTGTATATTCTGGCGCGACGCATCGGATAAGCACCATCCCTTTGTCTTTCAAAAAAATTGATACGTATCTTATTTCGATTGTTTTGTAGATAAACATGTAACTTATCGAATCATCTTTTTGTAATTAAACTTTCTAAAATATCGTTTTTATTAATTTCTACTATTTTTTTCCCTTAAAAATCCTTATCTTTTTTAAAATACAATTTTTGAAACATTAAATTTAATCTATACTATATTATAAAACATTTGATAAAAACTTTTAAAAATCATTTTTTATACATGTTTATTAATGTATATTACTTAAAATTTAAGATTACAAAAAAATTTATGCGTAAGTACAAATTATTAAAGCTCCATTTTTGAATTCGTATAACTGACTGCAGATAAACATAATTAAATTATGGATAAATATCTTATTTAAATATATATATTTTTTAAATATAATTAGGATAATCATTGAGTTCTAACAGAATTCTTAATTATTATCCTTATAAAAAATCATATTATTAAATCAACAATAAATTAACTTGTTATTAAATCTAAACTAAATTATAATAAAAAAATTACACAAAATCAATAACTTTCAAATAATTAATTTGATACTAATATTAATATATTTATTTTCGAAATTTTATGACATCTTCAAATTTATATTTTATTCAAAAATAAAAACATTATCCACTTCTTAAAATCACATAAAATCCGTATTATAACATCTTCAAATAAAGAATAAAACGAAACTTTAAAATCAATATATATCTTACTGCATTGCGCGAGTATCCTTCTAGTGCATATAAAATATGTTGATTATTTGAATATGAACCCACCAAAAAATATATGTATATTTGTTTTATTTATAATTTAATAATTTTTGTTTTATCTATAATTATATTACAATGTCCATATTATATATACATTAGAATGGTACTTGAGCAATGCAGTGAGATAAATCTTCATTTTAATGTTTAATTTTTATTTTGTCTCTATCAATATAATACGATTTTATGTGGTTTTGAAAAAAAACGATAATGTTTTTATTTTTGAATGAAATATAAATTTGAAGATAGCATAAAATTTTGAAAAAACTAAATCGATATTAGTATCAAATTAACTATTTAATAATTCTCGTTTTGTTGATGTAACTTCTTTAATTCAACTTTTTATTATACGTTAATTTAGATTTAATAACAGAGTATTTTTTAATAATATAATTTTAATAAAAATAATAATTAAACATTTTGTTAGAACTCAACGATTGTCTTAATTATATCTTAGGTTTTATATATTTAAAATGAATGTTTATCTTGTATTTTAATGTTTCATTTTATTATTTATCTATATCGATATAATATGATTTTTAGTGGTTTTTAAAAAACGATAATGTTTTTATTTTAAATAAAATATAAATTTAAATATATCATAAAAATTTGGAAAAAAGAAATATACCTATCGTATCAAATTTATTATTTAAAGTTTTGGTTTTTTGTGTAATTTTCTTGATTCAATATTTTATTTATAATTTAATTTATATTTAATAACAATAAGAAAATATTATGTTATAATCAATGATTATCTTAATTATATTTTAGATTTTTTATATTAAAAATGAGATGTCTATATCGTGTTTGATTATCTTTATCTATAGTTAGTTACACAAATTCAAAAATAAATCTTTAATAAGTTGTCTTACGCACAATTTACTTGTGATCTTGAATTTTAAGTAAAATGCATCCACAAACAGTATTTTATGCATAAGAAAATGATTTTTAAATTGTTAAATGCTTTATAATACAGTATCAATTATTATATATTTTATTAAGAGGAAATATTTTTATATATTATTCATATTATATTACATATATATATATATATATATATATTCTTCATATTACATATATATATATAGAGAGAGAGAGAGAGTGTGTGTGTTTGTTTCAAATACAACCCGTTCATTTGTACAACCAATGTAACCCAATTAATTGAGATATTTATGAAAAAGATGAGAGTTCATTTATTATTATTTGAATATTTATGAAAGATGAATATGGTTCATTAATTATGATCAATACTTTATATTAGAAAATAATCAAAACTTCTATGAAATCACATATTAATCAAATGAAATGGCCGGTTGAGAATGAGTTGCATTGGTTGCACAAATGTCAAGGGTTGTATAATAACCAACCCCTATATATATATATATATATATATATATTATTCATATTATATTACATAATTTATGGTTGTTTCAGTTCCAATGATACATAATTATCTATTGTTTTGATCTCTTATACTTAAAGGTATGAATTAGTCCAAAGACAAAAATAGCAATAAGGGCCCGTTTACCTAAATATTTACCTGGTAAACACTTACCGGTACACTATCGTATACTTACCGAGTAATATTTTATTCACTAAAACGCATTGTATGCAACAATTTAACCCCGGTAAGCGCTAACCATGGGAAGAGTGGTCGCCCTGACTTACCGGGTAAGACTTTCTATTCGTGTCTTCGCTCTTACCGGGTAAGATTTTTAGTCCTTGACATATTCATCCGGTAAATAAAAAGTGACTTGGTAAGCGCTTACTCGGGTAAATGTTTGGTAAACGGCACTTAAGTCATAAACTATACATAAGAATGTAAATCACAATTTCTAAACCATACGGACGAAAATTGAAATTATTAACATTCAATACGGACGCAAATCGAATTCTACTCATGCAATTAGTCAATACAACCTTCTAAGTAGGAAGGGGCTCAAAATAAAAATTATTGTTGAATTAAAAGGTGAGCTAAGACATAATTGTCGTGAATTAGGGGTGTGCATGATCGGATTGACGGAATTTTAATAATATAAATGAATTATTTTGGTTCAAATAATCTTAATTTGTTGTTATTTTTAATGTATAACTCAAGTTGTCAATTATTTTGGGTTGGTTTGTGTTAATTTGTCATGATTATATACACCTCTATAAACCACATTTTATATTTTAGGCAGATAGATGTTTAATATGTTTATTTGGGGACGATGATTTGCACGAATCATCGTGGATTAGTAGAACAAAGATGTCGATATCTTAATGTGAAAAAAATGTAGATTTACTTTTGTGAAATATTTGGTTGTTTTAATTGAGCTTTACAATAATTAATCGTTGGTTTAACTAAATTTTGGTGGTAACCAAATATTTGCTTAAAAATGATCAGATTCATGGGAGAACACTAAAAAATGGAGACACGTTCATCTGTTTTAATCTAATACTTGTATATGACACCGAACAGTTTTATTTTGTCAAAACTACATCCCTTTTTTTTTTTTTAATAAAATGATTATATTTGAATTTGAATTATCTACTTTTTTAGATCTACCAAATGACAAAAATTATCGTGTTTTTATTTTGTTTAAGTTCTATCTCGAACCTTCCTAAAAAAATACAAAGGCCCATAAAAAAAGTAACGAACTTAATGCATCCCTAATTAGGGCTTGATCAATATAATATCGTATTTTCATTTTATTTTATTACAACAATATACTTTAAATTAGGATATTGTATGGAAAAAAATACCCATTATAGCAATGAGTGATCTTTTAATTTGAATTAAGATAATATCACACAAGTTACCGAGTTTTCATGTTATGTAATTGTTCACGTGGGATGTCTATTTGTAACATATTGCTGGCGTGACATTTTTTATTACAATATTATAATTTCATAATTATCTTATTATAGCATCACAAGTTTTTATTACAGTGTACTTTTAAATTTTTTTTATATTAAAACATTCTACATTAAATCAAATTTGTTTGTCAAAAATAATTAGTTCATAAATTAAACTTGTAAAAGAAGGGGGAGAGATGTCGATTGAATATGAGTCGAGTGATCAAATTTGTAATTTACTGTGTTATGTTTCATTTATAAAAAAATTGACTTGATATATTATTTAATAAATACATTAAATTAATTAAAAAATTATTTATTAATATAACAATACTAATAAAACTTGTAGAACACAACTATCTGGCTATATTTTAAAAAAACATGTTAAGAAAATATTTATTTTTTTGAAAAATATGAAGTGTTACGATTTTAATAAGTAATATAAAATTATTTTGAAAATAATATGTCATTCATGTTTAAAGATATATTATTTTAAAATGTTTAATTTATATATAATTTAATAAAAAAAGGTAAAAGTTTTTAAATGGTTTTGAGAGTGATGAGAAAGCGAGGAAACTAGTAAGAGAATTTGAAAGATACTTTTTTATTTATCGGTCACATAATTAAAATGATATGTTATTTACATTATTTTATTTAAGTCACGTAATAAAAATAACATGTTTAACCGGTTTAAAGAGTATGTAATATTGTTATAATGGGTTTATTTTTTAGAGTATAGTTATTAAAAAATAATTTAAAGTATGTTACTGTGATAAAAATAAAATAAAAATAAATGTTATAATAAAAAAATATGAAAGTAAAATATTATTTTATAGATTTTTGATGAACTAAAATAATTTTATAATCAATAAAATTTTGAAAAAATTCTAATTTTTGAGATGATCGATAATAGAAAAGTAATGAATTTATTTTAGAGTACTAGAAGCGTACTCGCGCAATGCAGCGAGATACATCGTGTTTTTAATATTTYATTTTATTATTTATCTCAGTCGATGTTATAATATGGCTTTATGTGATTTTGAGAAAACGATGATGTTTTTATTTTTGAATAAAATATATGTTTGACGATATCATA